TCGAGTTTTAAGATCGACTATCGTAGCTCGAGTTAGTTTAGGAACATGTCCCCTGAAGAACAAGAGTGACTAACCATTAGGGAATATGAAAAATATCTAACCTAAGACCTCTTACTTGTAAAAAGACAGATTTAACCACCGTGTCACTCTAAGGGTTGAAAATTAGTTACTTTAGGTGTAGGCAAATGGTTATTTTTTTTTCGGGGATTTCATAGCTGACTTGCCAAATATCTTGGCGAGTTGTAGAAGATTAACTTCAAATATTCAATATTTAGATACAGATTTTGAATTTTCGATTAAATTTGAAATAAAAATCTTAATCTAATTTGAATATAAAAGTTAACTAGATCGAGATTTTGAGACTTTGAGTCAACCTAAAAACAATCCAATGTGTTCTTTACGTGTTTGACCTTAACAAACCAATTCAATCTAAATTATGTAACCCGAGATTTTGAAATTAAATTAAATTAGCCACCATTTTTAATACCACTTCCCATTGGACTTGCCTGTGATGAGCAATGCCCGCTAACGTTCATTGTGTCCGAAGATCAAATGTCAGATGGGATTCATTATTCTATTACTTACAACTTCCTCGTACATTAATTGGATTCAAAATTGTTTTTTATTCAAAGACCTAAATTATATACAACAAATTCAGGGGTCGTTTAATAACGTTTTTGTTTTTCGCGTTTTCAAAAAAATAAAAAACAGAGACATTTTTTATTTATGTTTTATGGTAAACACTGAAACAGAAAACATTTTTGAGAATCATTTTGTCTATTAAATTATGAGAATAAAAACAAAAAATATGTTCGGTAACTACTTTAAATTTGGATATGCTTTATAATATCTCATATAACAAAATATAAATCCAAAAATTCCTTAACCCAAAACATCAACTAATTCGTCAAACAACACCTAAACCAACACCCACTGAATTTTCATCATGTAGCCTTAGCAATGTCGTTGTCCTGTCCTTATCAGCCCAGCAACAACACAAGGATGACCCATCATCTGCAAAGGCAAATGGAAAACAAATATGCTCAAAGGCTTGAATGAGGAAAACAATCTAATAGCTTAGTGCCATTGACAGTAAAATTAGCACATCAGACAAATTCAATCATCTGAGGACTCCACAGAGATAATGAACAAGTTGGGATCACTAAAGTGCGAGTGATGGGATGCGTAGGCAGAAGAGATGATAAATGGGGAAAAGCCAATCATGATACTAAGCTATTAATGTCGAGCAAACAGACCATTTATTCGATGAAACTTGAACACTACTACTTGTAGATGGAGAAGGTTTCAAACCCTGCAATTGCAGAAAACTCCACTATATGAAAAGAAGTACAAATAGTAAATAACAAAGAAGGAGCGCAAACTTAAGGCACTCAAGTTGATTTTATTCTGATGGCATAATACAAAACGTAGCCAATACAAAACCGGCAAGAGAAATATTTATCATAGGTTATCTGGATTGAATGTTTGGGTGGGAATATACAACTTTGTTCTTCTTCTCTAGCACCAGGATATAAACAGCCACAATCTGCAAATATTACCAAAAGCTAAAACATAAGAACCAAGAATACACAATACAAATTGGTGTCTGAGATAGACATTAGGGAACAATTGAGAGAGAAATCTAATACACACAGTCACATAGACACAAACAAAAAAACACACAGATCACAAGGAACACACACATACCACACATACTCTGCACACTCAATTTTTTGTAATAGAAAATGAAAAAAAGGGGAGGGCGGTGTTTCTGATGGATCTACACACACAAATTTTAGGGAAAAACGAAAAAAAAGGGGGTCCATCAGAGATCTGCACACAAAACTCACCCTCTCACACACACACACAACCATCACTGGCCTTGTATATATTTATATAATAAAATAGTTTACAATTTAAATCTCAAAAAATAAACAAAATAACTTTTGTTATTCGCGGTTGAGATTGTTTTAAATTTTACTTTAAAGTTAATCTAATGATTAATATTAATACCCTAAATTTAATAGGAAAAATAAGTCATAATAGTGTGCTTGGAGTGACTTTTTAAAAGTACTTTTAGAAATTATTTATCATAAATACTTTAAAAAAAAATAGTATTTGAAACTACTCATCACTATCTCTACCACCACCACCACCGCCGTCGTCGCCGCCACCACCGCTGCCACTACCACCACTGCCACCACCACAACAGCCACTATCCCCACCCCACCCCCACCGCCACCCCTACCCACCATCGTCGCCACCACCGTCGCCATTGCCACTGCCACTGCCACTGTCGTCGTCACCTCCGCCACCACCACCACTACCACCGTCGCTGCCCCGACCGTTGCCACAACCACCGTCATTGCCACCTCGATCACCACCAACACCACTATCGTTGTTATCACCACCATTGCTATCGCCGCCTCCCCCACCACCACCACCGCCACCACCACTACTGTCGCCGTCATCGCCAACGTCACCACCACCACCACCACCACTATACTCGTCGCCACCACTGCCACCATAGTCATTACCACCCACCACAACCATCACTGTTTCCTACCACCACCACTACTGCCCACCACCTCTCACTCCCACTACAAACTGATGTTTAAATTCTTTTATCTCTTTTCTATGCTTATGACTTGATTTTGAATATGAATACAAATATGTTTATTGTTTACCTTACATTCATTGATCTGACATAAATTTGAATGGATCTAGCATATATTTGAATGCATACACTTACCTTTCATCAAACGGCGACATATAAATCGATGGAGGACACACACAAGGCTAGTAGAGAGAAAGTATCGTCTTCTGGGTTTCACAAAGAGCATCGTCTTCTTCCACAGCGACAAAGAGATCGTCTTCTTCCATGCCATCGCACCACGCATCGTCTTCTTCCATGCATTGTCTTTTGGGTTCTCTTCATTCGTATACAAAGAGAGAGAGAGAATGGGTGAAGAGAATGTTATTTATACTTCTACAAAAAATAATACATTTTGTTGGTAATAAGGGTCGAATCCGAGACATCATTAAAATTTTTAGCTGAGTTGTACGCGTGTTTCCTGAAACACAATTTTTTTGTCTTTGTTCCCATTTGTTTCAAGACAACTAATATAAAAAAAAAACAAAAATATTACCCAAACATATTTTTGTTTTCATTTTTGACAAAAATTGAAAATAAAAACACAAAATACAAGACAAAAACAGTAAACAAATATCCCCTCATATTTTCATATTTGCATGGAAATCGTTCATATGATTATAGCCCCTCTCTATCCTCTCATCTTAATCACGCGAGTAGTTTATCCATTCTCATTTAATAACAGTATGTAATCAGTAAAACAAAATTAAAAAAAAAATGAACTGTGTTAAAAAATTAATATATGTATGAGTTTGGAAATCGAATACAAGTTAAATTGTGATTGAAAGTTACGTGCTCCATTTGAGATTGAATTTCCATCCGTTCAAAGTGACCGAGTTGAACTCTTAATTACATCCTACCAAGTATACTACAACAATTAAAATTCATAATAGCTACTCAATAAAAATATTATTACAAAAAATAAAATAAAATAAATAAATTTGGGAATTCAATAATTATGAGCATGGATGCCTAGGCTATTAAATAGTCGCCTAATCAGACGATGGACAAGAATATGGAAGTTTGGTTTTCTTGTGAGGTTACTTCGATCAACTCGATAAAACCCGCTATTAAAAATTATGTCTGTATGTATAATCCCGCTTTCCATCAATTGAATCAATGTAAGCAGGGTCTTATTTGGTTTGGTAAAGGGTCAATCGGCCCAAGACATACAAGTGGAAGCTGACTTGGTGTCCTATTTAGTTAAAGGTTTCATACTATTAAAGGTATCCGACTTTCTATCAAACAATTTTTTGCTCTATTGCTAAATTTTGTTAAAACTGAGTTCTGCTGCTACTGAAACTAGCCTTTTCGAGTTGACAATTAGTCAACAATCTTTAAGTCCAAGCAAGTTAGCATGTGATTATCAATGAATTTTAGTATTAAATGAGGTCTATTATCAATCAAATAATTACAATATAAGAATATTTTAAAGAGTAATATTATTTAGANAAAAAAAAAATGAACTGTGTTAAAAAATTAATATATGTATGAGTTTGGAAATCGAATACAAGTTAAATTGTGATTGAAAGTTACGTGCTCCATTTGAGTTTGAATTTCCATCCGTTCAAAGTGACCGAGTTGAACTCTTAATTACATCCTACCAAGTATACTACAACAATTAAAATTCATAATAGCTACTTAATAAACATATTATTACAAAAAATAAAATAAAATAAATAAATTTGGGAATTCAATAATTATGAGCATGGATGCCTAGGCTATTAAATAATCGCCTAATCAGACGATGGACAAGAATATGAAAGTTTGATTTTCTTGTGAGGTTACTTCGATCAACTCGATAAAACCCACTATTAAAAATTATGTCTGTATGTATAATCCCGCTTTCCATCAATTGAATCAATGTAAGCAGGGTCTTATTTGGTTTGGTAAAGGGTCAATCGGCCCAAGACATACAAGTGGAAGCTGACTTGGTGTCCTATTTAGTTAAAGGTTTCATACTATTAAAGGTATCCGACTTTCTATCAAACAATTTTTTGCTCTATTGCTAAATTTTGTTAAAACTGAGTTCTGCTGCTACTGAAACTAGCCTTTTCGAGTTGACAATTAGTCAACAATCTTTAAGTCCAAGCAAGTTAGCATGTGATTATCAATGAATTTTAGTATTAAATGAGGTCTATTATCAATCAAATAGTCACAATATAAGAATATTTTAAAGAGTAATATTATTTAGAGATAAAAGTATAACCTATCCAAATATACATCATCATTTTGTTAGCCCTGTCCTCTATGCATCCGAAAAGAATAAAAAAAAAACTAATTTCCACGTAAAAACAGTGTTGGAGTATGAAAAAGTTTCAATAACAGAGCCCAACATTAGAGCTATCTACTCCATTCCCAACTCTACACAATTCTCATACGGTGTCAAGTTTAAATCCAAGCACATAACTCTCTTGTTATTCGACTTCTTCAAAACTGACATCGGCACCGGCACCGATGATTTTTTATTCTCTGTCGCTAACTCTTCACTGCTCGCCGTCGCCGCCGCACGGTGACGTTTCATGTGCCCTCCAAGTGCTTGTCCTATTGCAAACTCGAGGCCACAAACAGAACACTTGTGTATCTTAGGCTTCGATTGATTTATTGAATGAAGAAGATCCACTGCTAGTAGTTTAGGCTTCTTGTGACTCGCTCGGTGGCCACCGAGTGCTTGGAAGGAGTGGAATTTTCTGCTGCAAGTCTTGCACTCAAATAGACGACCCGGATATGATGATATAGTCTGACTGACACGAGAGAACAGCATCAAACAATTGGCCATGGCCAGCGCTTCATCATCTCCCTCTTCTCTGTTTCTCTTAACCATCATGGTCAATAAAATATCATCCAAAAACAGTTTTAAAAAAAAAAAAAAATCAAAACAAAAGAATTCTCTGAGGATATGTTTGTATGTCACAGGTTTGCAACCTTGTAGAAGTGTGCCAGTACTTTTAAATGTGTGTTTGGTATTTATAAGTTGGAGACTGGCATGACTATGTACAATAACTGATTTGCCCTTACATTCTTGGGGAAGACGAAAGGGTAGAAAATATTCAACGGAACAGGCACACCACATTATCAATATTATGTGGTATAATAGTCTAGTAATAAATAAATTTAGTAAGTGAATAAAGGTGAATCTTACTCTTTCAAGTAACTATTATTCTATATAAAGTAGCAAAGTTTATTTTGTCCACTTTGTTTATCTATTATTGAATGATTACATTACGTGTTAAAATTTAATTATTATTTGTTTGCTAAAACTTCTACCAAGATTTAAATTTCAAATCAATGTGAATCATAAAATTGTTGAACCCCACAAAATTTAACTAATTATCGAATAATTATTAATGTATCACATTATTTTTTTATTATAAGATATTTAAATTTATACCCGTTACTCCTCAAGCTGACCATCATAACTTGAGCTGAACACATCATTTTTGTTATGATAATGAATATTTTATCGAATGAGCAGTGCTATGCGTACCAAATTTTTTACCAAAAAATGTTTTTATCAAATAAGTCGATAACTTCATGTCCAATTAAAAACTGTATTTGATAAGTTTAAGAGTGATCTAAAACTGACAACTCATTTGATAAAACCATTTCTTAATAAAAAATTTGGTATGCTTAACATTTCCGTCGCCAAAGAAAGTGAGCGCAGTGGCAGTTTTTTTAAGGGGAACTTTGTAAGCGGTGCCGTCATGGCATGCGAAGGCGTGTTTGGCGTCAAATTAAAGAGGGAGTGTCGTTTGGGCTGAGCTAAAAGAGTGTCTACTCTCGTTCACCGGCACTTCTAGGACTTTTTTGGATCGTTGTATATAGTAGTACAAAAGCCCACGTGCAACCAGGGCGCGTGGATCTTAAATTCGAACACAAATTTTAGGTCTTATTTTGGTAGGCGGGTGAGGGTGTCCTCCAGAGGTCTTATTCTGGATTTATATTGAATATTAATTAATTTTAATTTTAATTTTTTAAAATCAAAATATTTTAAAATTAATCTAACATATATTATTTTCGGATTAACATACATAATTCTCTAATCAAAATTTTTGATTAGTGTCTTTTCTTTTTCAATTAAATTCACTATCCATAAACCCCTTGTAAAATTAAAATACACTTCATCTATCAACTATTAAAGGAAAATAACAAAGCTTCTAGTTTTGGAAATATTTTTATAATATCAAATTTTGAAAAGTAAAAAATATTTTTTTTGAATGATACCAAATAAACTTGTTTTTAGTGTGAAAATCAGGTTACTTGTACTTGACACTGCTTCGATTCGTCTATTATACATGTTAGTAAGTTATATCATTTTTAAATTTACACAAAAAATTATCAATTGTGACCCACGAATTTTGTTTTGAATTCGTGTAGTGCCTAAATGTATCACTACGCATTTTCACTCGAGTAAACTTCATAGTGAGAATTCCACATCGAATAGAAAAAAAGTTGAAAAAGCCCTAATATTTCTTGAATAAGTTTATTAATGACAAACTTAAAAAGGAAACAAATTGAAAAAATTTTAATATACCATAAATAAGTACATTAGATATGATAAGAAACATAAAAATTAATTTGCATCTAAATAAATTTGGGCTATACTATTTTATTCCTATAAATATGATTGAGTATGATGCATCTGATGACAATTTTCTAGTAAATAATACATCAATATAAGTTTTTGGTCCGTGAATATAGATATGATGTATCAAGATTGGTACACTGTATTGAACCATACTATATTTTTGTGTAATGTTTTCTTTATTTTTTCTATCATGAATTCTTATTTTCTAATAAATATTATTAATGTTAATTATCTATTGTACAAAACTTAATTGACCAACTTTTTGCATTGAAAATAAACTTCAAAAGGAACTTTTCTTACTGTGCACACTCTAGAGTTCAAACCTCCACGCGCTCTATTGCACGTGGGCAAATACTTAAGATTGTTGAATTACGAAAGCAAGAAAATTAAGGTAAGATGAAAGAGAGTGTAATACGCCAATACACGTCATGGGAGGAAACGTAGCAGGAAAGTTGTAGCATTACTGTTACTGTTAAGCATTTGTGCTATTATTCTTCTCTTTCGTCTTTCACACTCCTCAGTGGCTTTTCTTAGCCCCAAAGCTTTTATTGTTTTTTTTAATGGCCACACGGAATACATACGTTTTTGAATAATTCTTCTGATTTTGGTTAAAAAGTCTAACACCTTGATTTAGTTGTTTGTACGGATTTAAAAAAAGTTGTTTAGACAGTTGTTTTTTGAAAAATAAAAGTTAGGTAAATTTAGAGAATAAATTAAAACTGTTTTATATACTTTTAGAAATAATTTTTTTCAGAATTTATAATATACCACCACCCTTCCACCACTACCCTTTTACCAACACCACCACCACCACACTCCCACCAACACGTCAATCATACCATCATCGTCACATTTTTGTTTTCATTGTTTTTAAGGTTCCTGTTTAAACAAGTTTTAATATTTTTTAATATGTAAAATTATTTTTAGAATCATATAATTTAATAAGTTCTGCGACAAAAAAAACATCAAAAATAATTTTTTAAAACTCTTTCAAAAATTAATTTTCGAATATTATTTTTTGAAGCTCAAACCAAAGAGGGCGTCGTTATTTTATCTTGTGAATTTTGAAAACTTGTGAACTTTTTTTTTTCGACGTAGAAATCGTATTTTTTTTTGTCAGTTAAAAACACATAAAAATACTAGTAAAATTATGACCGTTCAATAATCTTGATGATTTTTGAATTGAAACTCATCTTCTCAATTTCAATAGAAAATGTAGTGAATCAAGACTTTTTATTATGGTATCATATATATTTCATCTAGTGTATACCTGTTTGTGATTTTTGATGTGATTTCGACCAATTGTCCTTACTGAGAAAATATTTCATACAACGTTAATATTATTATGTCAATATTGATGATATAATATCTTCAATTAATAATAAAATTTAAAATAAATAAAATGAACCTTATTTGAATAGTCATTGAACTTACATAAAAGAAGAATTAATAATTATTCACTTACATCAACATACAATAATTAACTTGTGTAAGTCTATTTATTTATATATTATTAATTAGTAATATCACGCCATCAAGTACACTTATGTAATATCACTCTTGCCATGAACGCCCCCACCAATCTAGTGGTCCATCAACCACGCCCACAGGTAGAGACTTTGTTCATTACGAGGACATAAATAGGGAGGTTAAGAATTGCTCTTTTCCTTAATTGACTCATTGCCGCAACAACATCTGTAATATAAAATATAATATATTTTATTAAGTCTATTTGACAATTTAAACTAGATTTATTTAATAGTCGCCAACATCTTTTTAAAATTATTCACATTACATTATACTTTCAAACACGAGATATCCCTCGTATTTTGACAAAATCCATCGAATATTTGAAGAAATACAGAAAATAGTGCAAATTTGTAGTACAAAAAAATCAGTAAATATAAGTGGGGTTTTATAGTATGACAATTCAATGATACAAATTTTTTATTTATGTCTTATTAAAAATTATTATTTTTAAAGTTAAAATTATGTATTTTAAAAGTGAAGTTACAACTCTTCGACACTTCAAGTGGAAAGGAAAGAAAGCTGAGCCTCCCATTCCTGGTTATTACTTATCGCTTAGAGTGAAAAGGACCCATTTGATTATTGAACTTAATGATTTTATCCGTCAAATTGGACCGTTGTGATATGCATATGTTTGTACGGATAGACCACGACACAACATATGAAGTTTAGAGCATCTCTAATAATAAAATACATTTTGCTTACTTAAAAAATAATATTTTTTATTTTAGCGATTCACTTTTTTAATTCACATTCTAACAGATTTTTTATATTTTTTAATACTCATTTTAAATATTATTTCTTATTTCTTTTGTATTATTTTTTTTGAGAATAGTGAAAAAAAAAAAAAAAGAAGGAAAGAAAAGAGAGTAAGAGAGAGAAAATAATATATATAAATGTTTACATATTGCTACAGTGACACTCTAAATGTATTTTATATATTATGAAGAGCGTCTGTTGTAGATGAATTTTGGCTTTAATTAGCTAAATTTTAGCTATTTTACTCTTTTACCGGAGATGCTCTAACTAAGTTTGGTAAACTTTAAGCCTAAAAGTAATTTAATAATAATAAGAATAAATTGTAAATTTAGACATTGTAAATTTAAATTTTAACAATTATTTTGGATTAAACCAGAAGATATTTATCCCTCATAAATACCTTAATCTCAGCGTAGATGATCTGAGTTTGATTAAATTGGAGAAAAAATTAATCAAGATGCAAGTAAAATAACTCAAACACTCCTCATCGTTGAAAAAAAGAGTTTGATAAACTTTAGTTTATGATTAATGTTCCGTTTGGTAGAAAAATGAAAAGTATGAGAGATGTAAAGTTGGAGGGAAACATTTCTATCATTCAAGAAAGAAAAGTATGAATGATACACTTTCTTTCCTTTGTGTTTGATACTATGGATGAAAAAAAAAATAATTTTTTTTTGTAGTAGCTAAAATTAAGGGTGACAATCGAGTCGTGTCGTGTCAGGTTCGTGTCGAGTCATTACGAGTTTGTGTCAAACATTAGTCGAACTTAACTCAACTCATTTAACTAATTGTGTTGTGTCGAGTTGATTTGTTTATTTTCGTATCGTGTTCGTGTTCGTATTCGTGTTAACCTACATAAACTATGAACAAATAATTTAATGCTAATATTATATTTTCACTTAATTGAATTCATGTTAAACATGTTAGTTTCGTATTATCATACAAACGAGAAA